AGTCTGTGGAAGATCAGAATCCTGGAGGGAAGGCATGATTTATTTCATATTTTGAAAAAAAACAGAAAATTAATTTCAAGTACTTCTAAGCCAGAGAAATAAAGTCTGTGCAAAGTAATTTCAAACTAAGGGCAAAATAAAAAGCAAAACAAAGGATCATACTTTTTCTCCTAATTAAAGTAATTCAATTCAGACCGACAACGTTTATGGTGCAGAAAGTACAAAATTTAGACCAGTGGCTAAACCAGTGCATGAAGCCTTTATAAAGCCCTATCATCACCCAGGTCCTACATTAAGGATAAAAGTAGTTCGTTCACCCATTCTTAGACTTCTGCCTCGGGCATGTTTCACACAAAAACTATATAGTTTCCTTTAAAAGCTGTCTTTGATTACTAAATAGTTTTGCTTAGAAGCTGAACCTTTATCGTTAAAGTGCAGAGGCAAAGCTTTTAACATAATGATAAATGTTCTCTTGTACTTCATACAGTGCTGCAGTTAAGAAGGTGGTTTTGGCTTTTAAAAGAGGGTGTGTAACCAGAACTGCAATTTGCATTTGCAAATTCACATGATTTTTACTGTTAAATGAAGCCCAATAGCTTGTTTAAATTGTCGGGGAGTGGTAGAGCTCAACAGAGGTGTAGCAGGTATTGCAGCTGAATTACAGGAGCTATAAGCCACCCTTAAGGGAGAGACACAGCATGGAGGACCACTCGCTGCACAAAACTGTCAACGAAATCTCATAGAAAACAGGCAAGTCTGGAAATACTAGTGCTAGTTGGACAAGAAATAGATGACAAGTTCTGTGAGTATCTGCAAGAGACGCATGTAAAATTTGTCACTACATGTGTGGTATATGCAGGTGTATTTTGAATAAGGGGACTGTAATTCCTTAGTTCTCACATAACTAGAACTTTGTTCTTATGGTTATAATGGCGTCTGAAATTCTAAAGCATTATATCCCTTTTAGGTAGCCTTGCTTCTTACTTAAAGCATATAAACTCTTTTTACAAAGTTCATCTTGCTGTTTTTTATGCATTCTTAGGCTTTTCAATTTTGTATATGAGAAGCTAAAACTTCTGTGTGGCTGTCAGTCAATGGAAGATCCTGTGTTACACTGCAAAGTGTAACCTGACCTTTAACACCTTCCCAAAAAGCAAATAGTGAGCATCAAGCCCACAGACATCCAGGTCAGGGAGGAGAACAGATCCTGACGGGACTATCCGCAAAAGATGCGCACTCAACTCCTTGCCTCAATGCATCCTCTCCAATGTCGTGGGTCCTCACTGGGTTGGAGTTTGTACACGTACAGAGGAGGAGGAGAAGGCTGCTGGATCTGCAGCTGGCATAGCAACTACTCCAGAGCTTTTTTTAAGGAGGCCATTGGGAAATATAGGAGCAACCCCTCTGGTCCCCAAGGGATTTTGCAGACTAAGGACTTGCTGTGCACTGGAATTAGAATTTATTACGCTTTTCGTAAAAATAATAGTTTTTAATCATGCATAATCCACTGCAGAAGAGACACATTCTTAAGTACGGAAAGCAATTGAAGGCCTGGAGACAACCTGAAGTTAAAAAATGTACATTTTTTAAAAATATGTCTTTGAAGGAAACAAACCTTCCCTCAACCTATCATTTAAGTGATTTATTTAGTCTTCATGTAGACCAGAATTTTAGACGGTATCTAATCCGTCTGCTTATAGAGAAAGTTGTCATTCATTCACCACCTGACAGAGAGAGCTACCCTGGGGCTTAACTACCGGTTCTGGTACCGTCTGAGGGAAGGGGCAGCAGTTTATATTATTTCAGTTTTTATAGTCCTTGGGTTTGTGTTTGCAAAGCTGTTTTAAATTCACTGCTAGGAGTCTGCCCAGCTGTGCAAGCAACTACATTGATGCTCACTGCAGTGCAGGTCTCAGTGATATCTTGCAGCAATGAGTTCCGCGGGTTTTCACTGCTTACTGTTTGAAAAAAGTATCCTTTATTATTATTAGATTTATGACTTTTCCATTTCAGTGGAGGCCCCTTTTCTCCTCAGATGAGGTAGGGTGACGAGTTCCTGATCTACGTTTTCTCCCTGCCATTTATTATTTTGTCTACTTTGATCATGCTCATTCTTATTCACTTTTTTCTGTAAACATTCCCAATCCTTTCAATCTCTTTATCATTCTTACTGCACTTCTCTTTCTGATGTATCTTTCTTAGATGGGCTAACAAGAAATGAACAAAGTACTCCAGATGAGGCCGAATTATTGATGTACATAACAGGTAAAATCCTGGCCCTGTTGAAGTTGCTGGGAATTCACTAACATCTAAGGGCTGAGGTTTCTTCCAGTGCTGTCACATTTCCTACATTATTCTGCCTCACATTTTTCATATATTCAACTTCAAAATTTGGCAGCTGAGACTTTAATCTAGAAGCCTACTGATTCAGCATCCTCCATTAAGTTGCTGTTAGTTCTTAGATTAGCAGTGTAGCTCTGTGGACAGGATTAGTTCCCTCCCCAAAATACTTTGAAAAGGGTCAAATTTTGTCCTGATTCACATTTGTCACAGATATGTTAGTTTTGAAGAGCTGAAACTGAGGGCAGCAGCCCAGACTTTGAAACAATGCTGTTTGTGTTCACAGTGACCTTTAGCTGCAAAATCTGCTAAAAAACATTATTTAGTATATGAAAGCAAACAAACAAAATTTTTGCCTCTGTCAATGACTGACCATAATGCAGTGTGAATATGAGGCCAAACAAGTCAGAGGTTTTTTTACAGCATCTGCAAAAGAAATCTTTTAACTTCTATTTCATCCCCAGAAACATCTAAGAAATGTTCAGATTGTTGCTGGCTAATAAATACAGTAAACGAAATGTTAATAAATCACCAGCAATTTAGCCTGACAATAACATGGATTGACCACATTGATTAAATTGATTATGTTTCATATATTTACAATATGTAGACACAAGCCTAATTTATTTTCTGAAGAGTTCAAGGTAGGTATCACCGGCTTAAAAAAAAGGGGGGGCGGGGGGCAAAACAAAACAATGGAGTAATGTTTGTGGTTGCTATCTGCAATAATCTAATGCTGACAGAGAGCAGTATTTTATTTAGTAATTAACAGTGTAAAGGGGAGAGAAGCTGTCATGTTGGTTCTTAAGCTGGGGAATGTGATGAAAGATGATATCTGCGATCTCATCCTTTCCACTTGTTTAGGATTGTCAGGATGAGAAATGTCAGCATTATGAAAGCTCAGCTCTGCTCTTGATATGATAAAACCCTTCAAAAGCCAGTCTTTCTCTCCCTCTCCCCCCTCCTTTCTCCCTCTCCTTCTCGCACTTGCTTTTTTATTTATCCTGTTTTGTTAGATGGCAGAAATATAATTCTTTTCTTTCTTCCTATTATAAGCCACCATTTTTGTTTTATTATATGTTTCACAACCCCTAATGCCCCACTGAAAATTACCTTGTTAAATGACAGTGTTTCAAAGCCATGAATCCTTTCCACCATTCCCTCAGAGGTTTGAAACAGTCAACAGACTGTAAAGAATAAATAATAAAAAAGTATTGATTATTTTGATGACTCTGAGATTCAATTAAGTATTAATTTTGCCCTCCAGTGGACCTATCAAGGTATTCAAAAGGGAGGATTCGGCTCAGCTAAATGCGTGCTGAGTGCTTCAGCCTTAAATAGGGAGAAAATGTGTTTACCTACAGTATTTGAAGAGGAGTGCATTGATGCACAGAGTCCAATATTTAAGTGTTGTGCAAATTAAGCCCTGGTGACAGTGACATTGTTTTCAGCGATATGAGTATTGACTAAAGAAGTGCATTTGATGACAGCTTAAACTATTTGTATTGATTAACATTTTCATAGATTATCATGTGTCATATCAAATTCACTTTTCAGACATGAATACATTAAAAAACCCATAGGCAAACATCGACCAATGTGAGGACGGGACAGAGGGAACATGCTAACCAACCTACTTGCTCGCTGGTCACCTGTTCTCTGCATAAGAACCATTTAGGCATGAACTTTGCAATAAATAGCTGCCAGAGAGCGCAACAAGGTCACTTGTTCCTTTCCCGTTTTTTTTACTCTGGTTTCCGTGCTGTCATGATATTGTGCCTGTTAGTTTGCAAACGGAATAATAGAGTGGGCTTGGAAATAATGCCTGACCCCCAAATGTCCTCAATGAGCAGAAGATAAAACAGATCCAAATCATCAAGAAAAAATTTAAATGTATATATATATGTGTAATGTGTTACGGGGGATATAATGTCGCAAACACAAGAATAATTGCAAACTCTTTGTGTAAGTATCTTCCCTAATTTTATCTTTTAAAAAATGGTTTTTGTGTTTTTTATTTTCAAAAGAAAAATGTGTGTTTGTGTGTGTTTACGGACTTTTGGAGCATAGTATCCCAAAGACAGGAATAGTTAGAAGAAATCTGTATCTCTGTCAAATATATGTAATGAAATGGTTATTTGCTGCTGTGTATTTTCATAGAAATGCTGGAATGCTAGAAACTGTGTATTTTGTTAATGTTGTACAGCTGAGGATGCCTCTTTAAATCACTGTGGAGCGGCGCTCCTCTTCCGTGGCGTTGGAGCATACAGGAATTTCTTTTCTTACTACGTTAAGGACAGGGTGAGGTGTAAAAACATACACACAAAAAAAAAGCACATCCCACAATTAAAGCTGTGTTGGTTATGTTGCTTTCATAGAAGTTTTTCTCCAAAGCATCCTGAATCTCTCACATGCTAGTTGAGCTTTAATAGGGTGGGGAGTAATGGAAAACTCATTGGATCTGTAATAGCTCTTCACTTGACTGCAGCCAGCAATAACAGCAGGAGCAGCCAGAGATAAGAGAGAGAGAGAGAGTGTGTGTATGTGTGTGTGTGAGAGAGGGAGGGAGTGGAAGAGAGAGTATACGCACACCAAAGCTGCCACTTTTTTTTTCCCTCACTCTTTTTTTTTTTTTTTTTTTTTTTCCATCCTAGGATCCAATGATAGCTGGACAAGTCAGTAAGCCCTTGCTGTCACTGCGGAGTGAAATGAATGCAGAGTTGAGAGGTGAGGACAAGGCAGCTACTTCAGACAACGAGCTGAATGAGCCCCTGCTTGCGCCTGTGGAATCAAATGACAGCGAGGACACTCCCAGCAAGCTCTTCGGTAAGTCTGTCTAGGTATTTCATTTCACTGCTACCATGTTGTCCGGAAGAGCAATCTCCCCCTGTTCTTTTTTTTTTTTTTTCGTTTGCTCAATTTTCTTGGAAGTACGAAGGAGTAGCTTGGAGCGTGCAGGCGTACAGCCCTCTGCTCCCATTGCAACTGGTTACCAGAATGACAGCGTCAGTCCTGAAAACTTTTGTCAACAATGAACTTATTTTATGCAAGTTGCAGACATTTTATGTTTTCTTTTGATCCATGGTCTCTAATGTAAAAAAAATAGAAGGGAGATAATTTTCTTGGAGCAGTTCATTAACATTTATTGTGTTAGGCGCTGATGTGTCTCATGTGCTACCAGCTTTTTCTAAGGCTGGATTCAACTGAAAAGTTATCGTTTTATGTGGTAAAGATGAAGCTGGCTGAAGAGAGCTGAAACATTCCCATAAACGCTCTGTACTGAGTAAACAAAGGCTACCAAGGGTAGTGCACATGGAGCTAATGTTTTTGGAATTTAAATTAGAAATTAAATATTTCTTCTAAAGCCTGTGCAAAGAGAAATTACCTCTTGAATTTTTATTTATTTTTAAATAGTCTAAATTGTGCCAGAGAAGTGTAACCTTTCACAATCAAAACAAAAGCAGCAAGAGTGGCACTCCAACACAGACATCTGTCATTCAAACGGATGACACCCTGTAAGCCAACTCGAGCAACTCTGATCTCTAATCAGAAAAGGGAGCAGAGTTGTTGAGGCGCATGCTTGAGTGATAGATGTTGATAGATGTCTGAGCTGGAGCAGCACTGTATGGTACATAGTGACATTTTGGGTTTAGAGGGACTGCTCTCCTGAAGGAGTTCCTTTAATTATTTTCATTTATGATTTGAGACAAACCTTAATAGAAATGGAGCATTTCCTTACTTTACATGATCCTATAAGTGGAAGTTAAAGGGAAAAAGATCTTGTTTATAGGGAATGCAGCTTTAAGGGAGAGAGGGTGAGAGCCCATTTTCTAAGATTCAAGTTTTGATTTCATAATCTGTAAGGAAATCTGTAGCAGTGGTCAGATTTCAGTATTCCAGCTACAGTAAGAGCTGCAAGATTTTTTTAAACAAAAGAATACACGCAATTTTCTTTTAAAATGTTCTTTATCCCTTGCTAAAAGATATAGCACAAAATATTTTACTAAACAACTTCACTACAGATATCAGAAAATAGTAATAATTAAAAAAATCTTAAAATTTAATTTCTGGATTACAGTAATGACCATTACTGAATATCACATCCATCTTTAAGCACCCTCTTAGTAATCTTTGTTTCCATGGAAAGCATAATTTCCATTAGCAGTTTGAATGTTCAAAAAGCATATAATAATTGTTTTAGTCCATTTCATCCAGGAAAGAATTGTAATGTCTAAAATTCAGAGGGCTATTAGTTGTCTAGAGTAGTATAAATATCTTCAGCTGTGTTTATGTATTTTATTTGCTCAAATGTTTAGGGTGCATCTGTTAAATATAGCAAGGCATATACAAAACAAAAACCAGACTTTTAATTTGAGGGTAGTGAAATGTCTATTTGTTTGTTTTTAGATCAGGCAAGTCTTGTAATAAAAGGCAAGATATTTTTTTGAGCCATTGCCATTTGGATGCTCTACAGTGATAGTGAAATATACACAGACACTTTCATTAGAGTCGCCGTGTGGAATATAGAAATGATGTGCAACAATATCTTGTCTCCTTCTGAACTGCAAATATAATTTACATCCCTAAAAGCACTAATATAAAAAAGCTACAAATTAATATATTGTGCTGTTTCTATTGGTAAGTGTAAGATGTTTGCTAGCTTGATTCTTATACTGCTAAAAAGATGTTCCCAAGTAAACAAAAGTAGGTGAAATAGTTCAACTGCCTCAGTATGAACTTATGTACCGTTTATCGAGGTTCTGTTAGAATTATGACAGATGCTACAGATCTTTTCACAGCAGCCCTTGTCAGTTAATTTTAGTAACTTTGAGGACATAAAAGAAAGGACAGTGGGGCTATTTTGATACATTTACAAATTTAAAATAAAGGTGATTACCCTTTATGTCATGGATGCATCCTTTAAGACAGATTTGCAGTAAGCATTTAAAATAATTAAGAACAGTTTTGTTTAAAGCTTTGATACATAAATACGGAGTATTATTCTGTAGCTGTTTCTTTTTGTTTAATGTTACAAATAGCATGTTAGGAATGCATACTTTGGGCCTTTCCTTGCAGTCTCTGAAATTAAATTATTTGTGGACTTATTGACACGTGATGGCATAGAGATTGACAATTTTCTCCTCCAACTTTCTTTCATGTGAGCAGAGATAATAATTTTCTTTTCACCATATAACTTTTAATACATGCTGTGTGAAAATTTGCCCAAAATCTGTTAAGCAGGAGAGGGAGGAGCATTTTAGAAAGTTATGGGGAGGAGACTGGTCCATAGAGAAGAAAGTTTTTCTACACTGCTGCTTTCACGTTTTTTTGAAAAAATTGTGAAAATCATGTACTGATTTGGTTGGAATGAATGTGCAGTATTTGAGTGTCTCGTTGATGTTGACAATATTTCACAAGCCTTATTTTCATAGAGATGAACAGAGGTGAATGATTACATGTGAAGAGCTTTCTTCTTTCTCACCGGACACATTCTGCTTAGCTTCTTTTGATGGATGGGTTTATTTCTGCAAGGACCTGCATTGCTCACCTGTACCTTTTCCTAAAATCCACCTCCTTTTTCTCAAACTTGCTCGTTTTGGTGTTTCACTGCATATCATAGAGTGGGTATTTTTTGTTTTGGTAGCAGCAAGCACAATTAATCATAAAAATGGCAGCTCTTCAATAACAGTCCCTGTTGCAGGTGAGGAAAGGGCAGGAGTACAATTAATTGTACTTACTTTTGACTTGGGAAGATATGCAGTAAACTTTTGTTTCTCTTACGGATGCTTTGCTATCAGTGACAAAGCAGGTGAATGCTGCAGCTCCTTGGGCCTCAAATACCAGGACGAGCTGGGATAAGTTTCTGATGATCGGAAATAGCTCCCACCTGGAACTGGTGCACAGGTGTCTGGGAAGATGCACTTTGTCACTGTGGTGCAGTTGCTGCCTGTGAGTGATGACGGGAGCAGCTGTGATTAGAGGGGTTGTGCTTGCTTGTTGTTTGCCTGCTTGCTTTCTCTTGGTGGCTAGGTTTTGGGTTTTTGTTGTTGTGTTTTTGTTTTGATTTTGGGTTTTTCTTAAAGAAAAGGCTGTCCTGTAGTCTGGGGGTTTGCGTCTGTAATCCTCTGCTTGTGCGTTTGTATCAGTGGACTTTTTGGCATCTGCATACCTGCATCCAAAAGACTTTTGATACTGAAACGATGTGAAACAAGAAGGGAGAAAAAAACATGGTGAAAAATACTTTCTGAAGTGCAAAATGTTGGTAAACGGCTCTGTCCTGAAACACATTAGCTCAGAAGTACAGTTTTGAAGTGTGGAGTTAGCACAGCTACAGTGTTTCAGTTACAGAAATCGCAGTTTTGTGGAGCAATGTGAGGCGAAGTTGCTTTGCAAGAGATCTTATGGTGTATTATTTACTCTTTAAAATATTTTTGAAGCAGTATCTCCTCTTTTAATCATATGATGTAATTAAGAAACAGAAAAACTGACTCAGGCTGTTGACATTCCTGGCGGTGTTATTTTCAGATCAACTTGTCTAACTCTGCAATATGCTTCTAAATAGTAACCCAGGCCAAATGCTGTGACTCTTACTAGAGAAAGCTTTTCTTAATGCTACGTAGTAGCTTCACTTGCATAAGCACATTGGAATTTGATCCTAAATTAATTAATCCTAGTTGCCATTTTATACAATATCTTTAAACAAGTTTAGAATAAGTTATGAAGTATTGGTCTGAAAAAAAAATCTTAGTAAGGAAAAAAGAACCCCTTTATGTTTAGCTGTGTAATATTATAACTGTTGAGATTCAAAAGTTGGTATAGACACCGGGGATATGTCATGCATAAAATTCTCTGTACAGTAAAAATCCCAGGAAAGAAGTGGCTAGTCCAAGCACCAAAAGCCCCTGTGGACTGAGGCTGGCTTTCCTGGAGTTAGATCCAGTCCTTAATTCAACCTTAATTGAAGGTAATTTATGACATAATTAGATGATGGTAAAAAGAAAGCTGGGAATGCACTTGCATGTTAAGGTAATTTTACTGTATTATAAAAAGTTGCTCTTTGAGATTGAGCCTGTAGTTCTACGCATCAAACTTATTGAAATAAATAAAGCTGTAAGTATATATTGAGTGCAAGACCAGGCCTATAATTGTGGAGCACAAGTGTTTCCTATTTAATAATTGCAGGACAGCAAAAAATTGACTGCTAACCTTTTTTTTTTTTTTTTTTTTTTTTTGCTGGCAATGTTTTGTTCTAGTGAAATTAAATCTTAGGTTTCCTGTGCTGGATCTGAAGACTGTGGTTTCGTTTGGTTCACTACCAGTTTTTTGCTTTTTTCATAATGCTCCGTATGCTTGAAATACGGCGTGGGGATATACAAGTTAAATGAATCTGCACGCATTTCCATAAACAAGGGTTTATTTTCAAACCTCTCCATTGGCTTTGGGATTTTGTTTTCTTTTCCCATATTGTTACCCATGTTTCAGAACTGCATGCATCTTTCTGTATAAGCATACACATATATGCTGTAGCGGAACAGGGTGGAAGTTGGTTGTGTGTTGGTTTTTTTTTGTTTGTTTTTTTTTTTTCTTCTGATTGTGTTTTGTTAGTAGATCCCTTGTATTGCTTTTTAAGGAAACATACATTACCTAATATTCTCTTTTTTTTTTTTTTTAACAGAGTTGCCTTGATTAGAATTTATGGCACTGGAGTCATTTCAGTTACAAAGGATAAAGGACTAAATTGTCTTTTACCTCTTGAGACAGTGGTCTCTGCAGGTCAGAGCAGAGGTCGTTGCCAGGTTGCGGTGAGGAAGCTCACATTATCGTCA